AGTTTTCTGGGAAATACATTTTAAAAACCCAAGTTCCATTGTGTAAATACTGCCATCGTGGCCAATTTCAAGCTTCCCGTGGTTTAATAGCGAGCTTGGAAAATTCCTGAATATTTACTGATCGGCGGTTAAGAGCCAGCTTGCTGTAGTACACCTCTGACGATCCTACATGGCCTCTCTGTGCCTGTGGACAGTATCATCTGAAGAAAGAATATTCAATTATTATTTTAAAATTGACTTTATTGAGTTAAGATTTGCTTACAATGAAATATATTCGTTTTAAATGTACAGTTTGAAGAACCTTGCTAAATGGACCTATCACCACATTCAAGACACAGAACGCTTCCATCAGTCCCAAAGGTTCTCAGGTGCCTCTACCAGGTTAACCAGTTAATTCCCACTCCTCCACACCTTTCAGCTCAGGTGACCACTGAGTTTATTTCTGTCGCTATAGATGAGATTTTATCTTTCTGAAAGTTTCATATAAATGGAATCACACAGTATGTATTCTTTTGTGTCTGGCTTTAGCTCAGCACAATCTTGGATTCATTTCCAAGATTTAAGAAACATTTACTACCCCATAAAAAATCATTTACTCAGCTATATGAATAAGAATTTCATTTTCATTTGATATTTGAGTATATTTTTAAAGCCTGAGTACTTATTGATTGGCTGGTTTTCTTAACTCTAAATAATTGCTTTCTTTTTCACTTTATGCCTTATAGAACTGCCTCCTTACTGGTGAACTTTTTGGAAACTGATTATTAGTTAAATAAGACAATTTTAATTTACTAAGTCATTTTAAAAGGTTTGCCTTTTTCTTCTTTCTTGTTTTACAAGGTAAACCTTCTAGTATCAACACATCTCAAGTGGCTTGAACACACAGGGTTAGCTTATGGTATTTTTATTTTATTTTATTTTATTTTATTTTTTGAGACGGAGTCTTGCTCTGTTGCCCAGGCTGGAGTGCAGTGGTGTGATCTCGGCTCACTGCAACCTCTGCCTCCTGGGTTCCAGCTATTCTCCTGCCTCAGCCTCCCGAGTAGCTGGGACTCCAGGCACGGGCCACCACTCCCAGCTAATTTTTGTATTTTTAGTAGAGATAAGATTTCGCCATGTTAGCCAGGCCGCTCTCGAACTCCTGACCTCAAGGGATCCGCATGCCTTGGCCTCCCAAAGTGCTGGGATTACAAGCGTGAGCCACCGCGCCCAGCCGGGGTTAGTTTATTTTAAAGTTCGTTTCTTGAGACTCCAGAAGATGGCACTCTTACAAAGCCTAAGAAATAAAGCTTTGGCAACCTATGGTTGTTTTTCTAGGTGGTTCCTTCCTGCTGTGACCCATTTGCAAAGCCATTTGCTTGGGAGAATAACATTTTTTTTTTTCTAATTATCAGAGTCATATATGCTGTTTGTTAAACATTTTAATAAAGGTATTCTTCAAACCCCTTGCTAATCCCCAAGAGATAACTACAACAGTTCAGTATATATACAGTATTTTCCAGACCTTCCACTAGCTTATACACACAACATACGCATATCAAAGTAAAAATGTAAATTTCTAAATTTTTCGATTTTAGGATAATCATAAACAATGCTCTTGTCTTTTGCTATAGGATTCTTTATTCAGTTTTTTTCTTCGCAGTTCTTTTCTTTAAAGACAGACCTTCCACTTCTGCAATTCATGGCTTGCCGAGTCCAAAGGGACCTCTCACATCTGTGTTGAATGAGGGCTTGTGGCCTAGTGAATGAGGGCTAGACTGTCATGATAAGGATGCTGCTATGGTCTCAAAGTTTTGGTCCCCCCATATTTGGATGTTGAGACCTAATCACCAATGTGCCAGTATTAGGAGGCGGGGTCTTCGAGTGGATTAGGTCCTGATGGTGGAGCCCTGGCCAAGGGGATTATTGTCCTTATCAATGAGGCCCCAGGGAATGGCTTTGTCCCTTCTGCCATGTGAGGATATATCGAGAAGCTGTGTATGATCCAGAAAGTGGACCCTTATCAGACACTGAAGCTGCCTCCAGAACTGTGAGAAATAAGTTTCTCTCATTTTTAAGCCACCCAGTCCGAGGTATTTTGTTCTAGCTGCCCAAAGGGACTGATAGATGCTGTGCTAGTTGCATTTCTTGTCAGTGAGAACAGGGCAAAGTGAAGTTACATAATAAGAAATGTAATGCTTCCTTTGCCTACTGAAGACTTATAGGACATTTTGGCCGAGATAGTATCAGAAAAGAACTATTATTTGGGTCTTGCTGGCTGTGCCGTGAAATCCTAGCCATTGGAGCTTTAGTGGGAAATTTTGTGAAATCACAAATTTTTTTTCAGATAGTTTTTTCCCCCATGATATAACCTTGCCGGTAGCTGACTTCCCCGAGAACATACAGTCCAGGAAACCAAGGAAGAACTGAAAGGCTTCTGTGATCTGTCTTTGGAGGTCATATACTGTCACTTCTTCGATAAATCTGCTCCTCATTCATTGTAGGAGGGAACTACACAAGGGAATGAAGACCAGGAGGCAGGGATCACTGGCGCCAACCTGGAGGCTGCCACAAGTCACCAATGTGTAGATGTTATTTGAAACCATGGGATTGGCCAGGTGTGGTGGCTCACGCCTGTAATCCCAGCACTTTGGGAGGCCGAGGCGGGCGGATCATGAGGTCAAGAGATGGAGACTATCCTGGCCAACATGGCAAAACCCTGTCTCTACCAAAAATACAAAAATCAGGTGGGTGTGGTGGTGCATGCCTGTAGCCCCAGCTACTCAGGAGGCCGAGGCAGAAGAATCGCTTGAACCTGGGAGGTGGAGACAAGATCACGCCACTGCAATCCAGCCTGGGCAACAGAGTGAGGCTCCCTCAAAAACAAACAAACAAAAAACAAAAAAACAAACAAAACCCTTGGGATTAGAGCAGGGAGGAGAGGCTGTGGAGGGATTAGATGAGGTTACCTGGGGCGGGAGTATAGAGAGGAGACAAGAGGATTGAGACAACATTCAGTCACAGAGAGAAGTCTCAGAAAAAGCTGCTTATGGAGTAATGGCTCTGGGAGCTTTGTGGAAAACAATTTCCAAGAGAAGGGAATGCTGAGAAACTGTGGTACTAGCTAATAAATGACCCCTGCTTTTATACTTGTGCAAAATCCTTTCCCCTTTGGGTCTCACACCATTCCTATGTAGTTGTAAGGAAAACAGATGTTATTTAAAGCAGTAACTATTGCAGACACTTTTGAGCACCAGGGAAGTAGAATCCTTTATTTATTACTTGGGGGCTATGGACCTTGTTCAGAGGCCTTGATAATCCTTTTGAGTCTGAAAGGTAAAGGTTGCCCTAGGATGTATGCTGGAAGGTGAGGGCTAGACAAAGAGAGCTGAGCGTATAATAAAGTGAGATGAGTGGAGGATCTGAAACCATTAAAAAAATATTTTTTTCTTTTCTTTTTTTTGAGACAGAGTCTTACTCTGTTGCCCAGGCTGGAGTGCAGTGGCATGATAACAGCTCACTGCATTCTTGACCTCCCCAGGCTCAGGTAATCCTCCCACCTCAGCCCCCCAAGTAGCTGGGACTACAGGTGTGCACCCCCACACCCGATTAATTTTTTTTTTTTTTGTAGAGACAGAGTTTTGCCATGTTGTTCAGGCTGGTCTTGAACTCCTAGGCCCAAGCAATCTGCCCATGTCGGCCTCCCAAAGTGTTGGGATTACAGACGTGAGCCATTGCATCTGGCCATATAAATAATATTAAAAGGAAAAACTACATACTGAAGCAAATCAGCTTAAGTTGGCTGACTAGCCATTGGCTTTTGGACTCAGCTCTGGAATTCCTCTTGTCTAGCACAATTCCTCCCTCTCCCTTCTGCTCCTTTGACACTCCTTATTCACCATGTCTCCTTGTTTCTTCATCCCACTTTGGTTCTATTTAGTAAATAATAATAAGACACAAATATTGAGTACTTTCTAGGTGCCAGTAGTTTCCAGGTTCCTAGTGCTTTAGGTACACAACCTCATTTCATCTTCACAAACGCATGCCTTGAACCAGGTGCAGTCATCGCTATCATTTCCACTTTAAGAAACTGAGGAACACAGAGGTTAAGTTACTTGCTATTAAGTAGCAGAGCCAGAAATTGAACCCAGTGTGATGTTAGAGGCCAGGCTCTTAATCATTAAATTTTGCCCATTTTCCTTTAGGGTTTTGAATTTGGCAATGCATGTTGAACCACGATCTACTCAGGCTGAGACTTTGGCTGCCTTTTTCCCTAATGCAGAACATGATTTCTGTTACTGACTTGTGGGTCTGACCTGTCCCAGTGGAGACCCCACCCTGGGTCTCACTGCTGCCAGCTAGGAGAAGGGAGAGCAGAACAATGTTTGTTCACACCCTCTGTCTTTTCACATGTATTTGCCCTGTTTCCTTTCTCCCTCGTCTGCCTGGATGATTTCTTTATGTAGCATTTCATTGCCCCTCCTGGAAAATTGTTCACTTCTCCTTCTATGCGTCCTTCGAAGGTCTTTTCCTTTTTGTTTTGAGACAGAGTCTCACTCTATCACCAGGCTGGAGTGCAGTGGTGCAATCTCGGCTCACTGCAACCTCCACCTCCTGGGTTCAAGTGATTCTCCTGCCTCAGCCTCCTGAGTAGCTGGGATTGCAGCCACCTGCCACTACACCTGGCTAATTTTTGTATTTTTAGTTGAGATGGGGTTTCACCATGTTGGTGACGATGGTCTTGATCTCTTGAGCGCGTGATCCACTGCCTCAGCCTCCCAAAGTACTGGGGTTACAGGCGTGAGCCATGGTGCCCAGCCCTTTGAACTTCTATTCAACAGATCTCACTGTATCACCATTCCTGGTAGATGTTTATCTCTGCCCTCAACCATGAGCTCCTCAAGGCAAGGACCATATCATGTTCATCACTGAGTCTCCAGTCTGGCACACTGTAAGGGCTCAGCGTTTCCTGACTGCATGAAAGATGGTGCTAGAAAATGAACAGGACAACTCTCAACTGCTGTAGTAGACAGTATAATTTTGCTACAACCTTGATGGGTTTACATAAAAAGGCCAGCACTTCTAAAAGAATCTTCTTTTAACTTAATCCTCAAACCCTGACATCTTCATCCCAGTTTTTATCTACATTATCATTATTATTATTATTAATGTTTTGTAGAGATAGGGGTCTCTTTATGTTGTCCAGGCTGGTCTTGAACTCCTGGCCTCAAGCAATCATCCTGCCTCTCAGTCTCCCAAAATGCTGGGATTATAGGTGTGAGTCATTACTCCCAGCCTCTATTTTATTATTAGTATTTCAAAAACTTCTCTCTATGCTCTTAACATTATTGTTGGAATCAAGAAGGCATACATTTCACATTATTACCATTCATTTTTTATTACAATTAATTCTATTAAAACAATACTACTTGATTAAAGCTCTATGATTAAAAAATATTCCAGATTACCAGAAGAAAGTTCATTAAAAGACTACTCCAGGTCCAGAAAGATATAAGGTAATTTTGATTTGTTATAAAGACCAACGTGACCAACATGGCTTGTGACTGCATATTGTTTCAGAAGGGCAAAAAGGATTCAGTGTGAATAGGGAATCCAAAGAAAATGGAACAGACAAAAATAGAGATTGAACTAATACACCATGTTACTCTGAAAGGAATGATTTCTGTTTGTAAATTTCTTGTTCCTAAGGAACCAATCATGGGGTAGATCTTGTGAAATTTTACATTAGTTCTTCAATTTCCTGAACTTGAGATGAGACCACCTCACCATTCACCATCTCCTGCACAACTGTCTTGATTTTTCGGGTTTTGGTCGGGTCTAAAGATAAAAATGGAATAAGGGGGCAAAAGTTAGTGTTTCAAATATTAATCCAGCATTAGTTGTTTAATGCAGGTTTCTAAATTAAGCATTGGTTGATACAATCCATATAATTAAACTTTCAAAAGTAAATTTTACTTCTTAAAAATGTGTTTTATCCAATGAAAATGAAATGTATTCAGTGTTGCCTTGTACACATATGAAAACATTTTTTTAAGAAAACATTTCAAAGTTGGTTATGGTGATCATAATACCTTGTAGCAGAGTAGGTTTTTTTCCCTCCTGGGATTGCCAATTTTTTAATTTTTATTTTAATTTTCTTAGAGACAGGGTCTGGCTCTGTTGCCCAGGTTGGAATGCAGTGGCATGATCATAGCTCACTATAACCTCTAACTCCTGAGCTCAAGGGGTCCTCCTGCCTCAGCCTCCAGAGTAGCCGAGATCACAGGCATACACCACCATGCCCAGCTATTTTTTTTCTTAAGTTTTTTGTAGAGATGGGGTCTCACTGTTGCCCAGGTGGGTCACGAACTCCTGGCCTCAAGTGATCCTCCCACCTTAGTTTCCCAAAGCTATGAGATTACAGGCATGAGCCACCGTGCCCCCAAAAGTTTTAATATAGTACAGACTACTCATTTTGTGCAGGAATGCATAAATGTTTTTCCTTGGCTCAGAATATAAATATGCTTTAAATTAAAATTAATAATAATGCAATATTCAATGAGATCTTACAGGTTTTGCATTAATAAATGTGATTCTGACTTATTCTAAGTGATTCTAGGGTTTCTGCATACCTTTAGAGGAATCAGTTGACTGTGCTTGTGATTTGGAGTCTGTCACAAATAAACTTTCCTCCAAACCATCACTGTAAGAAAACAAAGGAGATGACCTCAAAAAGTGAAGCAACCTGGCTTTTAATGGAAGAGTTGGTCTCAGAAATTCGATTTCCCAATTTGTAGGCCTGAGTTCTTCCAACTAGTGCAGCCTCTGATCACTTTTGGAAAGCTTGTTAGAGTAGGTGGTTCAGGAGGCTACTAGGTGTCCTTCTTATCATCAGGTCTTTGATATCAGAAATTGAGTGACTTTTGTAGTATAAGGAATACTAATTTACAAACTGTTTCTGACAGTAGTGCCTTTGTTCATTGCAGCATTTTATGAATTACCAAGTAAGATAATGGGTGAAAACACTTTGCAAAGTGTAGAGCATTTAGTAAATCCCAGGCATATCTTTACTAGACTTTGTTTGTTTGCTTTTCTGTCAACTAAAACCCCATTCCTTCTATTTCTGCTGTCCACTCTTGGTCAGCCCCTAAAGGTGTTTGCAGCCTTCGTTGTCTGCTCACCCCTGGGCCTCCCCGTCCAGCAGGCGGCGGTAGGTCTCAATCTCCAGCTCCAGGCGGGCCTTGACATTCAGCAGGCGCTGGTGGTCCACGTTCTGGCGCTCTGCATCCGCGCGCACCTGGAGCAGCTGTGCCTCCAGGTTGCTGATGAGCTGCTGCACCTGGGACAGCTGCGCGCAGTAATCGCCCTCGGCTTCGGCCAACGAGTCTTCCAGGGATTTCTTCTGCACGCGGGAGGGAAATGGTATAGAAATAACGATGGAGGGGACCGAAAAGAGGAGGGCAGTCAACGGCTAATGTAATTTGGATGCAGCATTTTCTTTGGAAGTCCAAAGGATGCTGCGTCTGTTTGCTCAGGAGCGTACCATGGCGAGCTGGGACTGCATCTCGATCTCCAGGTTCTGAACGGCGCGTCGCAGGTCGGTGACCTCGCTCTTGCTGGACTGAAGCTGCTCGGTGTTGGTGCTAATCTCCTTCCGGAGCTCCCCGCTCTGCAACAGCAAAGACAGCCAGGGGACTCGAGCGCTGAGCTCGCTTGCAGGCCTTTCTGCGAATGTATCAAAGCCTTTGTTGTTTGTGTTACCTTTTCAATGAACCAGGCTTCAGCGTCCTTCCGATTCTGCTCAGCGATGGTTTCATACTGCGCCCGCATATCGTTGAGGAGCCTGGTGAGGTCCACTCCGGGGGCAGCGTCCATTTCTACGCTGACCTCACCTGGGCCGCCCACCCGGAAGCTTTGGAGTTCCTGGGGACAGCACGTGAGAGAGAGGGGCACAGGGGTCCATTGTGACTTTCGTGGGCCCTGGATACTTTTATCCTCCTGGGCCCCTTCCTACACACACACACACACACACACACACAAATTCTATTTTATGACTGTTGGTATAAATATTAATGTAATATTTTAAAACTTTTTTAACCTAAAAATTCATATTTTTCTTCTGATTTTACAGGAACTTAAGACATATTAATGGGTCCCTGAAATTACCTCAGACCCTGGGAGCAGTGCCTGCTGTTCCTAATGGGTAAGTTGGCTCTGCTTCTTGAGGGGCCATGGCCTTTACATGAAAGGAGGCCTGGTGTACACTCACTGGGGTTTTCACCTACAGCTGCCAAACAGAGGGCTGCAGCAGTACCTGGGCTTGCACGCTGTTTGTGCCACAATCATTGAAAATCTAGTAGAAACTTCCTATTGCCAGCGTCCCTTCCTTGCCTAGCCTCCAATATGCACCGTGACATGTCAGAGTTTTCTGTGTGTTATGCTAAGTATAACCAGTTTCTCAAACACATATAACATTATATATTATTGGTAGACTTTTGTTCCTTAACTTTTAAAATACTCAGCTTTTTTTTTTCTTTTAAATCACTGAATTAGGACAGTTAGCATTCCTATTGTCATTGCTTTATAATGGAAATGACAAAATCAGAAAGTACCTCTAATCTGTTAAGCCTTAACAGGATCCACCATCACCACCACCACCACACACACATCACGCACACCACATGCGCATCACATACACCACACACACATCCCACAGAAATCCAAAACAAATGGCCATTTTAACAGGGAGACAATGTATTCTCCATACTTGTTCCGACTCCAGATTTCTAAATTTGAAATTGTAATTTTTGGGTCTGGGAGAAAAAAAAAAGTAGCTGAGTGAGGCCGCCCTGTCTGACTCACTTCCTCATGGTTCTTCTTCATGTAGGCCAGCTCCTCATTCAGGCTCTCGATCTGCATCTCCAGGTCGGTCCTGGTCAGGGTCAGCTCGTCCAGCACCCGGCGCAGGCCATTGATGTCAGCCTCGACGCCCTGGCGTAGGGCCAGTTCATTCTCATACCTGAAAACCAAGTGCAAAGCAGTTGAGGGAATCAACACAGCCATTTGAACAAGGCCACTGATCTTCAGGGCTCGTTATTGCTTACATCTGTGCACCTACTTCATAATGGCAGCATTGCAATGTATGATGAGGATTTTGCTTTTGTGTTTTTTCTTTCCTTTTTTTCCACCATTGTTTACCATTCAGTTGGAGAGAAGACAAGTGAAAAAATAATGAGGCAGTACTTTCCTACCAGCTATGAATCCCAATACCACAGCATCCCAGGGAATAATTTTCCCTTTGCTGGCTGCCATGGCTATAAATAGCAGCAGCCCTCTCTAAGTGGAATTTCTAAAAGCAGTTGAAAATAAGTTACTCTTTTTGCTTAATGTTCTTCATGATTTAACTTAAAACACTGGTACTTCTTTAGTGGCTGTTACCAAAATTTTACAGGTTCAGGACCATGGCCATTGCAACTTCCTGTGTGGAAATTTTGTGAAGCAAAAAGGAAATTAGTATTTCTTCCTTATATCTGGGAGAGTTGAGCATGGAAAAGGAGGAAGGAATATAAAAATTAGTACATGGTTAATCTTTCCATTGTATGTGTCATCAGGAAACAATGGTTGATACATTGAAAACTGAGGTTTAGAGGCAGATGGATCATAAGGTCACAAGTTCGAAACCAGCCTGGCCAAGATAGTGAAACCCCATCTCTACTAAAAATACAAAAATTAGCTGGGCTCGGTGGCAGGTGCCTGTAATCCCAGCTACTTGGGAGGCTGAGGCAGGAGAATCATTTGAACCCAGGAGGCAGAGGTTGCAGTGAGCCGAGATCGCACCACTGCACTCCAGCCTGGGTGACAGAGCGAGACTCTGTCTCAAAAAAAAAAAGAAAAAAGAAAATTGAGGTTTAGGACTTTGGTAGGATTACGGTGTCAGTCACATCACGAGTCAATAGCACACTACAAATATAGTGATCCATAGCCCTGGGTTTAGGCAACTTATAATTTAAGGACATTTAATGTGAATTGCATTAGATTCTAATTACTTTCTAGAACACCCTATGTGAATTTACCAAAACACTAAATATATGGAGCATGTGAACTTCAGAAGATTTTATATCAGTGAAGACAGGACAGTAGGGCAGAAGACATGGTGGGACATGGCCGTGATCCTCAGTTTCTTCCACTCACTTCATCCTGAAGTCCTCGGCAGCCAGTCTCGCATTGTCGATCTGCAAGAGGAGCTGGGCATTTCCAATGTTGGCTGCAATGATCTGGCAAAAAAGAGGTACACACACGAGATGAAGCCCTAAAAAACTAGTATTATACAAATATATTTTTGACACAAAGGTAAAAATGGTGATGTTAAATGCTGGTTTTTAGAGTTTAAGACAGTTTCATTTTTCTAAGACAATATCTGTATAAAATAATATTGAGAAGTAAAGAAATACAGATTTCCTACAGAAAGATAATGGAAATACAATCATTTCTTGGTAAATGATGAAATGGAATGAAACAACCTGGGATGAGAAAATTGCTGCAAGTACAGCCAAATTGGAAAATATCAAAGTTGTAGGTGATTATCACTGTAAAACATTGCAATGGTAAAAAGGAAAAAAATTCCCAAAGCCCCTCCAAAAGAAATCATCTTACCTTATTCCTGAGGTCTTCAATCAGTGGATAATATTTGCTGTAATCATTCTGTGAAGCATCTCCAGTCCCAGTTCCTCGTGTTTCATACCATTCTCGAATTTTGTTTTCTAGCTCAGTATTAGCCTCTTCTAGAGCTCGCACCTTATCCAGGTAGGAAGCTAATCTATCATTAAGATTTTGCATAGTTTCCTTTTCTGATCCAGAAAGAAGGCCTCCATCATTGCCTGAGAGAATACCTAGAGAGCCACCTCCTGGGCTGCCCCCAAATCCCATCCCCAGTCCTCCAAAGCCACTTCCACCCAGGGCTCTCCCATAACCAGCACCCAGTCCTCCTGCCATGGAACTTCCAGAGCCACCCCCAAAGCCAGAACTAGAACCAAACATGGAAGCAGCAGAAAAGCCTCCCCCATAGCTGGATCCAAAGCCAAAGGCACTTCCCCCATAGCCACTTCCAACACTGGAAGCAGACATGCCCCTGGGTCTGCCTGCTATCACACTCTGGGAGGAGAGCCGCCGGGACAGTCCGGGGGTGCGCACTGAGAGTGACATGGTGTTGTTGGAGAGATCCATAGCCTGGGGAATGTCCACAACTGGAGAGGAAGTTGTGCCAGCAAGCCAGGAAGCTAACCTTTTATAGGCTGTGAGATGGGTGTCGCAGTTGAAAAGTTCACTTTCTCCACTCAAAATTGGGTCCTCCCCCCAGGTTTTTGGCCAGCTCAACAAGTGAATGATTTATGTATAATGAAAATTCATTGATACAGAAGTAATTGAATAATCATTTCCATTAAATATTTGTTATATGAAAAAGAAAGCTGGGTGGAGTAGAGTCTACTTGTCATGAGGAATTTTTCTTCTCCAAATTAGTCTGTTGCCTGTATTCCCAGCACTGCCTAGCGTCTTGTACACAGTAGGAAGATAATGAACAATTGCTGAATGGATACGTTAAATACTTCTTCCTAAACCTTATGCTTTTTAAAATTCTTCTCTCATCTTTTCTGTTTGTTTCCTTTGGAAAATCCAACGTAAACCATTTGTTTCCTTTGGAAAAACCAATCCGATGTAAAATCCGATCATGATCAAGCATATCTTTTAGTGGAATACAGCTTCAGAAGCAGCTGTGAAATGCACTGGCAAAAGGTGGAGAATAAATACATTTTCCAGATTGATACTAGAATTTCCTTTCTTTTTTTTTTTTTTTTTTGTTTGAGATGGAGTCTCGCTCTGTCTCCCAGGCTGGAGTGCAATGGCGCGATCTTGGCTCACTGCAAGCTCCGCCTCCCGGGTTCACGCCATTCTCCTGCCTCAGCCTCCTGAGTAGCTGGACTACAGGCGCCCGCCACCACGCCCGGCTCATTTTTTGTATTTTTAGTAGAGACGGGGTTTTACCGTGTTAGCCAGGATGGTCTCGATCTCCTGACCTCGTGATCCGCCCGCCTCGGCCTCCTAAAGTGCTGGGATTACAGGCGTGAGCCACCGCACCCGGCCAGAATTTCCATTTTCAAGGATTTTAAAACTTTGGCATTAGGATGTTGCGCATTTCTTTTCCCTCTGATTCTTCAACTCCAAAAAGTACTATTTTTGAGTAGAGTTGTTTGTAGCAGAGTTTATAGTAGAGTTTATCATCGTTGTTTAAGCAGTTTTGCCTTGTCTGATTGCTCACTGCTCTACACTCAGCACTTATGTTTATTCCTTCAACAGATATTGCCTGTAATGGTTGCTCAATAAATGTGTTGACTGGTTGAATGGACTGTGTGAACACTTCAGGTTTTATTGCCGTTATCAATAAGGAGAAAGTGGAAACACAGTTTAAATTAAGAAGTGATTAAAACCCCAAGTTTAAGAGGCTAGTGAACCATTTCAGTTGACTGCTATGATGAAAAAGGATAAATTATACAATATAGAATACATTGGATGTTATATTTTAAACTTTGCTGTGAAAACTTTGCAAAGCGTACTTCAAGGAATTGTATCCAGTATTTTTAATTTTTAAGACATAAAGTTCTTGTACTTTCTTGTTTGATGTATTATTTACCTTTGAAATTGATATGGCTTGTATATTGAACATGAAAACTAACGTTCTTGAAGGAAATGCATTAACTGAAAGAAGCCTGCTTTCAGAGAGAGTTGTAGATACCTGGAAACCAAGTAGTACAATTCCAGGGTGGTGGAATTCCCTTAGGAATTTAAATTGTGAGCATTTTGATTGTATAAGAAGGAATAAGGATTTTTCTTTTACATGTTTTCTTTGAGATGATGGCCCAAGTCTCTACATGTCTCATTGCAAAATAGTTCTATAGTTTTTTTTTTTTAATGTAGCCCTCTATGTATTTATTGCAGGAAATTTAGAAGGTGCAGAAAACATAAAGAAGATGTATGTATATATGAGTATTTTATATACATTTTTGAACATAATTGATTCAATATAAGATTTTATAATCTGCTTTTCTCTTAAGATTATGTAGTTATCTATCACTTGAATTTTAATAATTGGGTACAGAACATGGATTATGGATTCTTGGAAATTCATTATTGGATTCAAATTTCCAAATTCAGGTTGCTCTGTATTTGATGATAGGAAATAAAATTTCTGGGTGTAAATAAGTTTTTTTGCGAAGATGTTTATACTGATTTCATTAATAAGGTATACACTGACTGTGTGTACTATAGACATATATGTATTTTGACTAGAATGGATTTATTGAAATAAAATACATTAAAATCATTGTAAAGATACAGTTCCTGCCTTGTGGGAAACAGGGCCTTCATTTCTCCATCAGCAACCTCTGTTTCCTTATATATGGCCACTAAAACTCCTTTTCAATTGGTATATTTGGATTCTGTGTTTTATTTTATTCTAAGGAAAAGTTTTTAAAATATGCAAGTATTATAGATTTCTAAAATAAAATTGAATTCTTATTTGATTTAATAATACATAACTTTCATAAAAAGGAAGATTTTTATTTTTATTTACTTACCATTACTGGATTAAAAAAAATAATTTCAACTCTTATTTTAGATTCAGGAGGTACATGTGCAGGTTTGTTACGTGTGTATATTTCATGATGCTGAAGTTTGGGGTACAACTCATCTCATCACCCAGGCAGTAAGCATAGTACCCAACAGTTTTTTAACCTTTGCTCCCCACAGTAATTCCCAGTGTCTATTGTTGCCATTCTGTATGTCCATGAGTGCTCGATGTTTAACTCCCCAAAAGGAGGCTTTTAGAAGGCTTTCTATACATTTGTAAGTGGAGATTGAATCTATCTGGTAAAGATTAATTTCTCAGCAAAATTATTGGATACTTGTGAGATCATTGAGATGCTACTTAATACAAACAATTAACCATAATAATTAGCAAATACTTGGCCATCGTTTAGGGTTTTTCCATAAGCGTATGCAGTACTTTTTGTTTCTCTTACTAAAATAATAACCTGATTTTTTTGGACATTTCAATAGCAGAGATAATATGTGAAGTAAGCCTGTAACTGTTACACAACTTGAATTATGTCAAAATGATGTGGTCTTTTTGAAAATTAAATCAAGTATTTCAACCAAGCCAACATGAAAGTATTCAAGTACTGGGTCTGCTATTATCTCCATCTTCAATGTCTGGTCCATTTGCCCAGTGTCTTGGACAAAGTCAGCATTCAATATATGCTTCTTGATTTCTCTCTTGATAAATCAAACTGCTGGGTCATTAGTGTGTGTTACGTATGAGGAAATTTTTCCAAAATTAAAAAGAGTGTATCAATATAAAGGCAAGCTACAAAGTATAATAATTTAATTATTAGTGGATTCACAATGTAGACACATTCAGATGTTACCCTCATTCTAATGTACACGTGCATGCACACACACATACCCAGAAACATGCACTCAGATGTCTTTGCTTGGTGCCAGTGTGCAGGTGCTCCCTGCAGAGGGATCTTCTGCAGCCCCTGCTGCTCCACCTTCTCTGGGAACCCTTTCTCCTGAGAATGCTTCTTTCTCTAGCCTTGATCTCATTGGAGTTTGTCTCATAGTGGCTAGCACTTGTTTTGCCTTGTAGAGTACAGACTGACTCCTGAGGAATTCCAGACCTGTAGACTAGATTCCCTGTAGTTTACTGCTGCCTCCTGTCCATCTGCATATCCAGATATTATCTCCTGGATTACAGCCTCCCCGAAGCTGAGGTTCTTCCATTGTGAAGAGTCCTGAGGCAGAACTAGCAGTGCCCACTGGGGATTAGGGGACAGATGCCAGTTTACTGCTGCCTCCTGTCCACCTGCATATCCAGATATTATCTCCCTGATGACAGCCTCCCTGAAGCTGAGGTTCTTCCTTTGTGAAGAGTCCTGAGGCAGAACTAGCAGTGCCCACTGGGGATTAGGGGACAGATGCCAGTTTACTGCTGCCTCCTGTCCACCTGCATATCCAGATATTATCTCCCTGATGACAGCCTCCCTGAAGCTGAGGTTCTTCCTTTGTGAAGAGTCCTGAGCTAGAACTAGCAGTGCCCACTAGGGATTAGGGGACAGATGGGGCCACACCTGAAGCCCCGGCAAACCTCCATAAGGAATACCTGGGATCAATTCTGGCAAATGGATGGAATATTTTGACTTTTTGTGGAAAAAAAAAAAAAAAGCCACTTTCCCAGGGACACAAATGACGAACCCGTGGTGAAATCCAATTACAACTTCCTTTTATATTATTACATAAGAGACAAATGTGAAGGGACATATTTCTCCCCAACCTAAACTTGTCACAAAGAGCAAGCAAGTGGGATTTCTAAATAAAGGGGGTTTAAGCAAGAGATTTGCAGAAATCACACATTTGCTATAGACACGGAAAGAATGTCGCAACCTAAGACAGTCTCAGCTTGAGAGAAGCCATGATCCATTTGTTTGATTTCTTGAGAGAATGAAAATCTGTTCCGTGGAAATGCCAGTGATTTTAGCCCCATATGGAGGTTTTTACCAAGGATTCCTTATATCTATATTATAAGCATTTTGACTGAGCTTGTCTTTGTTTGAATTATCAGTTATTATGTACTTACTACTTTTTGGACACTGGGCCAGGTGAATTACAGACATTATTTTTTAACCTTCATGGTAACCTCTTAAGGTGGTACTGGTTTTATTTGTTTGTTTGTTTGAGACAGGGTCTTGCTTGGTTGCCCTCACTCAGGCTGGAATGCAGTGGTGTGACCATAGCTCTGAAACCTTGAACTCCTGAGCTTAAGCGATCCTCCTGCCTCAGCCTCCCAAGTAGCTGGGACTACAGGCATGCAGCATGACACTGGCTATTTTTTTTAAAATTTATTTTGAATTTTTTTATAGAGACGGGGTCTTGTTATATTGCCCAAGCTGGTCTTGAACTTTAGGCCTCAAGTGATCCTTCTGCCTTGGCCTCCCAAAGCACTGGGATTACAGCTTGAGATGTAATCCCATTTTACAGATGAGCAGTCTGAGAGTCCAATTGTTAAGTGATTTACTTAAGCCCATGCAGCTGGGAGGTGGCAGAGATAGGATTCGGGCCTGCAGTGCCTTCTATAGATACCACAACCTTGCTGCTGGCAGTGACAATCAAAAGGACAGAGGATACTCTGATATCCCCTAGCTACGACACCTGACACCAGGCTTCTGCCCTGCACATCACCAGGAGGTGCTCTTTTTTTTTTTTCTTTTCTTTTAAGCTTTCTCCGTGAATTTTTTAGTGTATGGGCTGAGACCTAGAGAATGACTTTTCATGGCTTATAAGCAACAACATGACACATGAAATTCTGTAAACACACAGGCAAATGTGGTTTTCGTTTTAGCTTTGACCTGTAGCCACATCTTCAGAGATCTTTTAAAGCACAAGTTAAACTTGCACTCCCCACACAAGAACTTGACGTTATGGTTGTTAACTATTATTCAGTCCCAAGTGTCCCCCAAGACAGAGAGACTCCATTTTACTGCCATCGAAATGAAAACAGAAGCAAAGGAAATGTGCCAAATTCAAAGTTGTACCTCAGTGATTTGATCACATAATATGAGAATAAGATTCAGTTGTATTTTTGAACTTGGAATTGATTTTGTGCTGAAAGGTATATACTTTCCAACTCTAATGCCTACAGTAAAATTTAAATAATATTGCTCAATCTCTAAAAATTATGTTTATATATTATTTGTTTACATTTCTATACATATTACATATTATCCTAGATTAAGCTTCTTAGGTAGGTACTACGTCTATTTTTTAGCCTGAGTCCTAGCGTGGTGTTTGGCTGAACTTTATCACTGCACTCCTAAAATGATTTCATTTGAAAGAAGTTAAGACTTAATGTGTTTGAATGTGTCATTTAAAATTCATTTCATTTGAAAATGACTGTGCCCTAATTGACTGGTATTCTTTGACCAAGATTTATTCTGAATTCGGTTATGAATGGGGAGGAACTTCAGAAGCTGAAAAGAAAAATATTTCTTCTTCAGTGACTTTTTTTTTTTTAAGTGGGAGGCTAAATTAAATCATCAAGACTCTGCTTTAGAGGTTTTAGAAGTGAAAATAATGTTCTTTGACAGCACATTAATGTATAAGCCAGTGGGGATGTTAAAAAAAAAAAAAAAAATCTTGGGCTTGTTGGCAGAGTGATTACATAAGTTGAGGCAGAGAGGAAAATGATTATAGCCAGGGCAAACTGTTCAAAAGAATTATGTCTTCCATTTTTGTAGAGTTTAGGAAATGTTCAAAATAGAGAATATTAGGTATATGGTTTTTACACATCTTTAGATTTTTATTGAGTAAATCATACACTCATCTTTTCATGTCAGGTTGGTTCGTGTCCTGGTCTTTGCAGGGTTTTCTACCTGAGTTTTTTCCCGTAAGATAGAACTGTCATTTTCTGCAACTTGTTGATCCCTCGGTCTGTAATATCTTTCGCTTTGGATAACATTATAAAATCCTGTGAGTGACTGAGAGAATTTTGGGTTGCTTACATTTTACGTGTTGTACTTTTGAGATGAGGGTTAAACAAGGATCCTAAGGGGCATGAGTGAGATTGACTTCTGGGCTCCAGAGATCAATGGTTCTTGAAAGCAGGGGAGAATTTTGAAAGTGGCAGGAGACAGGAAGATGATAAAATAATACCGTGATGAGAGGAATCTTGGAAATGAGCTTAGGGGAGAGAAAACAGAGATGTTTGAAGGAGAATTCAAAAATAGAAATCACTACAAATGCTTGAAGTTGGAATTGTTACTTGGGGGTCTAATCAGGTACCTGAGGCTGATCCTGATGCATATGGGTGAGAACAGAGTGTCTGAGGGGGTCACTGGCCGTGTTTTGATTTTGTATCACTCCATGTTATTCTCCCTTTTAGATGATTCAGAACTCTGGGTAGAAATAATCTCCAGAGCTCAGATAAAATAGTGGTTTCCATCCTTACCTCATCTCTAGGGGCTCTCTCTGAGTTTGATAGCTTCACTTCTGCACTGACAATGTCATATAAAATGAAAAAATACATTGATGATAATTCTAATGTGTTTTGATAAAGACTTCTCTGGATTTGTACACCTGTCAGAAATAGGATTATGTCATTCTGGTTCTTAGCTCATATAAGAAATATAGATAGATACAAAGATTAATGCTTCACTTTCACACAGTAACTGCTGGCAGAACTGGAGGTAGAACTCCACCATCTGGTCAACATGTATGTAGCACTCACCCACTTCTTTGAAAGATTGCTTGGAAGAAACTAGAGATAGACCAAAGAAGCAAGAGGAAAAAAAAAATCCTCATTTTTCTGATCTAAAAATAACAATTCTACTTCTTTTAACAGGTAGTTAAAAGAGGACCATCCTAAATTAAGAATAACAACCCTACCTCTTTTAACACTGTGCCATCATTGCCATATGACAGTGGTCAGGCCTAATCAGTTACAAACCCATCTGCATAGGTTTCTCATTAATCAGATTCAGTCTGGTATTTGCAAGTCGAAGTTTCAGACCATTCTGGAATGTGACTGAGTAGGTGAAAAAGAATTCACTTTTAAATATTCTTAACATTTTTAAATGCAATTTACTAGCTGGCGTGACTTGGAAGAAAATTAAGAAAAAAATGAGTGAAACCTCTTTGGAAAAGAAGGCAGTGAAAATAGGTGGAAACACCTTTTCTGACAAAAGTTGTGCTGAATGAAGTCATGTGTGATGTTAGCCAGCAAAGCTGGACATTTGCCACAATTGGCTGTTGTGTCTGCCTGATGAAAATGACAATTAGAAAACAACAAAATAACTGTGGATAGGCAAGGGCCTATTTCAACTGTGAATCATGTATTGCTTTGTTATGTAATTGGTTGCTTAAGAGGGTGTCATGGTTTTAGAGAAACAGCCCTGAGGTTCAGTCTCGTTCTACTACTTGCTAACTGCATGACTTTGGGAAAGTCTTTATCTCATGTCTTCATATGAGTCCTCATTTATCCTCATATGTAAAATGGGGATAATATAATAAGGTTGAACCTTATTACATATGCTATATAATAGCATATAAAATTGCAATTTCTGAAAGTCAGAAATTAGCATATATTGGAAAGCTTCTAAAAAACTTTATTCTTTCAATTCAAAATAATGAATCAACTGCCTGATGCATGTTAGATATTATATTAAATCTTAGGAATTCAAAGTGGTACCATCCACATCCTCAAAAATTCCCAACTCTTAGAAATTATCATATATTGGCAGGTTCATATGATTCAACCTAATAGCTTCTACCTCACAGGATTATTGTGAAAATTAAATGAGAAATGCATGAAATGTTTGGCACACAGGCTCATAGTAAGTGCTCAATAAATGGTGGATATTATTATTCTTAAATGAATCATGTAAGTATTTTCTATATAATAATCAAACTCACTCCCACTTATTTACAACTTCTGTATCAAGTTTTAAGTCCAATCTATTTACTAGACTACAATGATTTAGCGCACATTGATTTTTTCCCATACACATTCATATGCAATGATTGCTCACTAAAATGCAGAAAGGGTGAGGTTACAATGTGTGTTTTTCTTTTTTTTGGATTTGGCTTCTTTCACTTAGCATATTTTCCAAGTTCATCTCTGTTATAGCATGTGTTAGTACTTCATTCCTTTTTATTGACGAATGAGATTCTATTGTGTGGATATATTACATTTTGTTTATCCATTCATCAGTTGATGGACATTTGAGGTGTTTTGCTTTGGGACTCTTATGAGTAATGCTGCTATGAACATTTGTGTATAAAAGGGCACATCGTATGATCCCATTTATACGAAATGTCCAGAGTAGGCAAATCCGTAGAGAGGGGAAGTAGATTAGTGGTTGTCAGGGGCTGGGAGGAAGGGAAATGGGGGGTGACTACTAATAGGTACAAGATTTCCTTTTGGGATGATGAAATGTTCTAAAATTAGGTAGTGACGGTTGCAAAATATTTTAAGCATACCAAAGACCACTGAATTGTACACATTGTAAGTGTGAATTTCATGGTGTGTGAATTATGTCTCAATAAAGCTGTTATTTTAAAAAATTTCATTAAAAATATATGTTCACCATATATAAAAAAAGAGAGCACCTGATAGTATATGCAGCTTACTATCAAAAGGAGACACATTTTGCCTTGAGAAGGGTTTCGGTAATGTTTTTAATCTATTTACATTTTTTTTTTTTTTTGAGACGGAGTCTCGCTGTGTCTCCCAGGCTGGAGTACAGTGGCGCGATCTCGGCTCACTGCAAGCTCCGCCCCCTTGGTTCACGCCATTCTCCCGCCTCAGCCTCCCAAGTAGCTGGGACTACAGGCGCCCGCTACCACGCCCGGCTAATTTTTTGTATTTTTAGTAGAGACGGGGTTTCACCGTGTTAGCCAGGATAGTCTCGATCTCCTGACCTCGTGATCCACCCGCCTCGGCCTCCCAAAGTGCTGGGATTACAGGCTTGAGCCACCGCGCCCGGCCTTCTATTTACATTTTAAGTATAGTGTACTTCACTCTTATTCTGCTCCGCATTTGTGATTGAATTTGACTCTCAAATTATTCAAAGAGCTGTGTAGACTTTTAAAAGGCAGTAGAAACAATGGGAAAAAGCAGAGATAGCTCAAAGGTTGTAGAGTTGTACTGATGCTGAAAAATCAATGAGATTAACCAAGAAATTGGCTCAATAAGAAACCAGGGACTCCCAAAGGGGGTTTTACAATTCAGAAACAGGAAAAAATTAGAAACCAGTTTATTTGCAATTTGCATAGATTCCTCTACTTTGTGAGGTTTAGTATAATTGAAATGTATTGCAATTTTCAGGAACATTACCTACAAATTGATATTAGGTGGTCTATAGCTTGTAATTGATGTGCTTCATGATAAAGATGGCAGTAATGATGTTTTAAATATTCTAGTGCTCATTGGATTTCATTTTTGCAGGCAATTTGCAGCTCCTCTGAGTAAAATATTTATATTCAATTACAGAGTCTGATAAATAGGATTTCCCCCACCCCACCCCTTCTAATCACTGCAAAGTATTAATAATGCTTTCTTATGGCCGATTTCTTGCAGGGAGCAGATAAGATTATAGCCTCATTTCTTTCAAAACCTCAGCAGCATCTCCTTCTGGTAGCCATTTAGATACTTTCTTCCACCTCTTTGACTTCAGATGACACGACCTTGCCATCCACTACTTCTTGCACGACTGTCTTAATCTTCCTGGTTTTCTTTATATCTGAATTCATATTAAACATTAAATGTTAATTCAGGCACATGACTCTACTGATTTATAATATTCAACTTTAAATTATTATTCTTTTTACTTATTTCCTTCTTTTAGAAAAATATGTTAAACCCATCCTCTTTCTCAAAAAATCTTAAGTCCATTTTATAAATAGATACAGAAAATGTGCTTCTCCCCAAATTTACAAATATCCTACTCTTATAAATTCAAGAAATAAATGATCTTGAATTTAAGTGGAATTCAGATTTTGTCTTGTTTTTCCTTTTCAGGATCTCAGATGTCTCAAGATAGCAATAGCACAGGCCAAGAAAATCACCCCGTTCTGAGGAGTGTGCCCAAGTTCCCACATAGAGGGTTTCTTTATGCCATGTACAAGATTTTTAGAATCCCTGGTGTCATATCTGCTGTTTTGAGAATTGGCCTTTGCTATGGTTTGAATGTGTTCCCTAGAGTTCATGTGTGGAAAACTTAATCCCCAATGTAACAGTGTTGGGAGGTGGGGCCTAGTAAGAGGTGATTAGATGATGAGGGCTCTGCCCTCATGGATGGATTAATGTGGTTACCATAGGAATGGGTTAGTTATTGTGAGAGTGGGCTAGTTATAAAAGCAAGATCAGCCTTCTTTTTCTCTCTGGCTCTCATGCACACTCTTTTGCACTTCTACTTTCTGCCATGGGATGACGCAGCAAGAAGGCCCTCACCAGATGCTGGCACCTTGATATTGGACTTTCTGGCCTCCAGAACTGTGAGCCAAGTAAACTTCTATTGTTAGTAAATTATTCAGTCTCAGGTATTCCATTACAGGAGCAGAAAACAGACTGAAACAGCCTCACTTTACTTTTTATCCATGGGAGATAGTTATTGGAAAGCAGCTGAGTGTCATAGAAAATGTGCAAAAATTTAGAACTTACCTCTCTCTTCCAGGGTGCTTAACTGATATTCTGTAGTTCTGTTTTGTTTTGTTTTGTTTTTTTAATGAAAAGAAGAAAAAAGAAACAGAAAAAAGGATTATTGCTGTTTTGAAAATGGAATGCACTCTTGTCTTTTATATTTCAAAGTCCAAGTGAATGTGTTTTAATGCTTTCATGTATCTTTCCCTTTTACATTGCTTGTTATTGCAAACTTGAGCGTTTTACTTTTTAACTTGAAAAATACATAGCTTTAAAACTGACCAGTTTAATATAAGCTAAGAAGTTCCTCTAATTAAAGTAACAAAATTACAATGTAAGTTTAAATCTTGTGTTCTCTTGTTGATATTCTTAGGTATGGTATCTGAAGACAGTTGCTGCTGCCACACTGATGATTCTGGCTCCCGTGGACCTCAGCAACTTATTTTCTAATTCATGAGCTCTCAATTAGAATTTCCAAAAGGCTGTTATGCCTTCAGTTATATATTAATGATGAAAATTAATATCAGCATAATCTATCATTTGGAGAATTATCTTCTAACTCAGTCCTATCACATGATCTCAAGGCTGTACTTGATATTTTGGGCGTGTGTCTACTTTTTGGTATATTTTCGTTTTGTTGGTGGTGGTGAGGCGAGTGTGAGTATAATTACTTCTGTCCTAGGGATTGCATTGGTGCTGGGTAATGAGTGACAGGGACATTAAAATAGAAGTGCATACAGACATTGACACCTATTCCTTGATTCTAAGAGCCTTACCTTACGTCTTCTCCTTCCAGAAGGCGGCGGTAAGTAGCAATTTCCTGCTCAAGCCGAGTCTTTATGTCAAGAAGGATATGGTATTCATTGTTCTGGCGTTCCATGTCACTCCGAATCTGCATCAGTTGGGCCTCCAGAGAGCTCAACAGCGACTGAAGGTTGGCTAACTGGCTGCTGTAACGGGCTTTGGTCTCCTCTAGGGTGTGCTCCAAAGACTCTTTCTATGAGCACAAGAAAAATAGGGCATTTCTTGTCTAAGGACTTGATTCAAGAGATGGGTCAATTTTAATTTATTTTGAGAAGGGTCTCTGCAGTTCATCACTGTGGGTATGGTGTGTATTTCTAGCTCCATCTCCCACTCTTCCCAACTAGGCAACCTCAGCCAGCCAGATAGGATCATTAGCTCTTGGGGTTTTTCTTTGCTTGTAGCTTTGCACCCACTGTTCTCTCAGTGCAGCACATTGTAGAATTGTTCTCAATATTTGCTTCCCCACCATGTGAAGATGTTATACCTCTCACTCCTTCATCAGACCTGGCCATGTGATCTGTGGCATTTCTCAGTTGCAGGATTAGATTCCTTTAATCCATTGACAGCTGGCTGGGTCATGTGACTCTCTTTGGTTAATGAAATGCCGGTCAAACTGACAAATGCCTTTTCTTTTTCTTTTTTTTTTTGAGACGGAGTGTTGCTCTGTTCCCCAGGCTGGAGTGCAGTAGTGCGATCTCGGCTCACTGCAACCTCTGCCTCCTGGGATCAAGCGATTCTCCTGCCTCAGCCTCCAGTAGCTGTGATTATAGGCACACACCATCATGCCCAGCTTATTTTTGTATCTTTAGTAGAGATGGAGTTTCACCATATTGGCCAGGCTGGTCTCGAACTCCTGACCTCAAGTGATCCTCCTGCCTTGGCCTCCCAAAGGACAAATGCTTTTTCTAAGGAGAAGCTTTAAGAGCTATCAAGTGGCCCAACCATTGCTCTTTTCTTTCTGCCAGAACACTGGCTTGTCCTAGGTAGGGCCTACCCCTTTAGCCTTGCCCTTGGAAAGGAAATGTCATGATGGATGTAGTATTGTGGCTGCAGGCCACTGTGGTTTGAGGGATTCTGGTTACCACAGCATAATTTGTCATGGGCTGGCTGGTTTGCTTGGCCTGGAATGTCTCTAGTTCATTCTCCAGCTTAAAATTGTATCTTAAATTTTAAGATCTGGTATAATGGACACATACAGGGGAATAGCAGACACGGGGGCCTAACAGAGGCTGGAGGGTAGGAGGAGGGAGAGGATCAGGAAAAATAACAAATGGGTATTAGGCTTAATACCTGAGTGCTGAAATAACCTGTACAACAAACCCCCATGACACAAGTTTAACTATATCATAAATCTGCATATTACCCCTGAACTTAAAAGTTATAAAAATATCTGGTTTAAATGCCACTTTCCCAGTGAAATCTTCCAGATTTACTCTTTCCTCTGCATACATCCAGTACATTGCCCTTTCCTCGATTTCTCTCTGTCTTTTGATTATAATCAGTTGTTCGGCCTCTTTCCCTGCCAGCTCTGCAAGGGGAAGGGTTATTTCTTGTAGGTCTTTGCATTTCTAAGTTCCTAACAGAGGACCTTGGTAAACACATACTGGATTGAGAAAGAGAAGTTAGATGTGCTTTACCATGCTGAGATGGGACTGGAGGTCTATCTCGAGGCTCTGGGAGGTGCGTCTCAGCTCTGTTAGTTCAACCTCAGTTCCTTTTAATTCTTCAGTGTTCACTGTGACCTGTTGCTGCAGAATTTCAGTCTACAAAGTGCCGAGTGAAAAAAAAACAAACAGTTGAGGGATGGAAATAAGAAAGAAAAGACAGAAAGAGAAAGAAAGAATGAACAAATGAAGAAGAAACTGAGTTATCTCTTTCTGGAGGAAAGCTTCTACACATTTGCTCACACTTTACAATTGTGCGGTTACCTGTCTCTCAAACTGTTCTTTGGCCTCTTGAAGGTTCTTCTGGGCCATGACTTCATACTTCTGCCTCATTTCATTCATGATGGCACCAAGGTTCAGGCCTGGAGCAGCATCAACCTCCACATTGACAGTGTTGCCCAGATGCTTGTATAGACCATCGACTTCCTATGAAAGTGAAAATTCTGATTGATTTTAGTCTGAAGCACATTCTCAGATAAGGTTGGGCAGAAAAGACATAAGAAGTCTCATGACCTCTTTCATTGGCAATGAGTAAAAAAGAAATAAAATAATAACTTGTGTTGGGCTTATTGTGGTCCAGGTACTGCTCTAAGTCATTTAACCTACAACAACATTATGAAAAGAAGGCGGGGCTTGTATCACTATTGTCATCATCATCATCTCTGTCATTACCACCACCAACTCTTCCCCCTTCTCCTGTTTCTCCTGCTCCTCCTATTATTATTATTATATAGAACCATTCCATCGTTTCCAATACCACTTCTGAATATTTTCTCACCTCCTGATGCTCTTTTTTGAGGAGAGCTAGGTCTTTATTCAGTTCTTCAATTTGAATCTCCAAATCTGTTTTTTGTAGGGTTAGGTCATCAAAGACCTTATTCAGGCCTTGGAAATCAGCTTCCACCGTTAGGCGTATTCCCCTCTCGGTCTCATACCTGGGAATTAATTAGTATACAGAGATAACTGGTCCTTCTGTAGCCATTATAAGAGAGAGAATCTAATATAATGAGATAGGTTTTTAAATGTGGCTTATGAGGAGATCAATTTCAAAACTTTATAATGTCTGCCTTTATACATTCATGAAATGTACATAAGAACCTAGGAATCAGACAATTTGCTCAATAATATAATCTCTATAATTTGGAGTGACTGGAAAAAGGCAATCTGAAATAATTTTGAGCACTTCTAAATTCTAGAATTTATCTTACAAGAAATTAAATTGTGTTAATTATTGTGTTGGCAAAGGGTTCTCATTATTGATATTAAATACTTTTACTTAATGAATGTACATGATCAATTTATTTTTATAACTTTGTGAACTGAGGCATCCAAAGTGACTTATCTCAAACAGCTCTACATCCTCCTCTATAATCTTACATACGCTCTCTGTCTCTCTCACTATATATATGTGTGTGTGTGTGTGTGTGTGTGTGTGTGTGTGTGTGTGTGTATATTTGAGACAGGGTACCACTCTGTCACCCAAGCTGGAATACAGTGATGCGATCATGGCTCCCTGCAGCCTCAACCTCCTGGGCTCAAGCAATCCTCTCACCTCAGCCTCCCAAGTAGCTGGGACCACAGGTGTATGCCACCACGCCCAGCTACTTTTTTTGTATTTTTGTGTAGAGACGTGGTTTCGCCATGTTGCCCAAGCTGTTCTCAAACTCCAGGACTCAAGCAAACCGCCTGCCTCAGCCTCTCAAACTGCTGGATTACAGGCATTAGCCACCACGCCCTGCCCAATTTCCTAAAATATCCAGCTTTAAAAAGTGACAATGCAATGGGACACTCAGTGCTAGGTAAAATTGTAACTAATGCACCTTTACTGCTTTAATCTTTGGATTTGATTTCCTATTTCCTTCTAGTTAATCTCTTGGAGCATTAAAAGGCTACTCTTCTAACCACAAAAGGCTTTTTGGTGTTAATGCATTGTACAAATTCAGGATGAAGATGCCCTAGTGTGGAAGCTGTTTGTAAGGAACAGCTCTGGTCACATGTGGTGTGATGACTACAGAGAAAGTAAACACAATTTTTTCTTTTTTTTTGAGACAAGGTCTCACTCTGTCACCCAGGCTGGAGTGCAATGTCACGATCTCGGCTCACTGAAACCTCCGCCTCCCAGGTTCAAGTGATTCTCCTGCCTCAGCCTCCCAAGTAGCTGGGATTTCAGACATGTGCCACCACACCCGGTTAATTATTATAGATTGGTCCTGATTCTTTGGTTGGCCAGACCATCCTGTAAAACACTGGCAAACCAGAAATCATCAAGAGTCACCCCTGGAACTTGGGTCATACACTTGCAGGTACTTGAATGAACATGGAGAATTACTTGGAGAATCACCAAGGGTAGACTTAAGACTCTCTTTAGATAACAGAAAGACACTTAGGGAGAAGGAGAACTGTAAATTGCTTTCTTATTACTCCAAAGGGCAGAATTAGGTTTAATGGGTTAAAAGGTAGATACCAGGTTACTAAAAAAAAAAAAACTTAGCAACCAGTAATAACAAAGGAGAATAGTAGTGACTGGAGGTGTTCAGTTACATGCCAGGGGATCAAGAGAGAGAAGGTCATCCCTGAGTGCTGGGCTAGCTTCTAACACGTAGCTTCTAACCTCCTTTAGGCTTCAGGATTCTGGAAACATTGAACCGTGGTTCCTTTACCAACAATGATATGGAAAGCTGATTATCTGGAAGGACTACTAAAGGAATTCTTTTTCAGAAACTTTTGCCACATATTAGGGAACCTACTTCAGTCTGAAGTCCTCAGCAGCCAGTTTAGCATTATCAATTTGCAGGACACATCGAGCATTTTGCAGTTGAGCATCCTTAATCTGGAAAATACATGAGAAAGAATGACATTTTCTTTTTTAAAAATTTATTTATTTATTTATTTAGACAGAATCTTGCTCTGTTGCCCAGGCTGGAGTGCAATGGTGCGATCTTGGCTCACTGTAACCTCTGCCTCCCAGGTTCAAGCGATTCTCCTGCCTCAGCCTCTCGAGTAGCTGGGGTTACAAGCATCCACCACCATGCCTGGCTAATTTTTGCATTTTTAGTAGAGATGGGGTTTTGCCATGTTGGCTAGGCTGGTGTTGAACTCCTGACCTCAGGTGATCCACCTGCCTCGGCCTCCCAAAATGCTGGGATTACAGGCGTGAGCCACCACGCCCAGCCAAGAATGACATTTTCAATTGGATAGGTATTTACAAGGATTTAGTTTATCTCCAGCTGCAGTGACTATTATGTCAAAAATGATGTTTATTTCAAGCATTTCTACAAGAAAATATAGAAAAAATAATGACATGGGTGTTTAACATAATAGAGTCACAAAATGCAACCCTAGATGCCCCAGGGTTTGGTCTACTTTCTTGTGATTTTACAGAAGGAGAATTTAACTTAACTTGAGTCATCAGAACTTACTGAGTGCCTCACCTTTGATGTTTCAGCTTATAATGTTTCTTTTAGCCCCTCTGGTCTGGTGAGCTCCCATTCCTCCCTCATGTCTCAGGTTCGACAACATTGCTTCAAAGGAGCCTTCACAGATGCTCTCAAAACTGAACTGGATGATCTGCCTGTGCTCTCATTATCCCTCTGTGTGCTGGTCCCTCTGTCCATCCCTGTTTCCTCATAAATCACATTGTGTCCACCATACTATTCCTCAGTGCCTAGCATGGTGCCCAGCACCTAGGTAGTGTCATTCAGTATTGGCTGAATGAAAGAACATGATACATAAAAGAACTAAATGCATGATGGATGCATATAGATGAAAAATCTACTTGCAGAGGATGTTGCAATGACATTTCTCTTTCAATGGATCCAGTTTTGGAGAGGGCTGCTCCCTACGGTTGGGACTGTCCAGCTCAATGGGACGGATGGCCTGTGCCTGTGTATTTGAGATGAGCCAAAGTAGAGTCAGAAACATGAGACAGGTGTGGTTCGAACATTTTTAGTGAGAGCCTAAGAAGGAGGAACTTTATTCCGGAAGGGCAATTTAAATACCATTGCTTCACACGCCCATAGTTTCTAAAATTCCAAAGCAACTTCCCATAGAGTCCGAATCAAATTGCTCTGATGTTTAGCACAACTCAAGAAAAATAGACTTGCTGGTAAGTAAATGGGCTTTACTCTAAAGGAATATGAATGAATCTTAACACAGAAATGACAGTGAACACTTCTCTTGATTAGATAAGAGCTTTAATTCGAAGCAAGTGCTCTGTGTCATATATGAAATTTTCAATTAGGAGCAAAGTCTTCTGCTTTTATTCCATGCAACTGATAAAATACAGAGCTCCACCCTTTTTTTGATGACATAGGAGGAGGTTGTGATATGATTGCAATAAACATGAATTGGGGGCAATAGAATATTTTATTACTGTAGAATTAGTTTCTGAACTGCTTGATGCTGATGGTCATGTTATTAAACAGGGCACTTAAAAATCCAGGCATCATTAAGACCCATATTCCTGCCACACTGTTTCCACCCAGAATCACTTTGTTATTTAAATCTGCAGTACAGTATTCTAATGGTCATACCTTATAATATTTACTTAAATAAAAGGAGAAAAGTCTTTGAATTGACTGGGGTTTCAAAACTTGAGGACTAGATGAAAAACTAAGAGAGATTTATCACATAATTAATTTTTAGCTCTTTTCAGAAAGATTGCTCACTATACATTTAGCCCTGATGTGGTAAGCTGTGACAAAGATTTATTTTATTCCGGAGGATAAAATGTTCATATTTTGTATATAATTATATTAAACATTAAAAATAGCATGATTTAAGGTCATCCTATTATACAGTCTAAAGGTAGATGAAAGAATTTTTGTAGATGTAACATTTTAGCCTAATTGTCTTTACAACGTCCATTTGGACCTGCCTAACATAGATAACCTCTTGATTTAACTTTCAGTTAAACACAGACTAGGAAACACAGGCGTCATCTCTCACCTGATTTCGCAGCTCTTCAATTTGTTTGTAATACGCGCTGTAGTCACGACCAGCCCTCGGGGCGTTGGTTTCGTACCACTGCTTGATCTGCACTTCAAGTCTGGAGTTGGACTGCTCCAGGGTCCGCACCTTTTCTAGGTAGCTCGCTAGACGGTCATTTAGGTTCTGCATGGCCATTTTCTCATTGCCAACAAACAGGTCCCCGCCGCCGGTGAGGTCGCTCCCATAGTTCACCGTGTGTCTGGAGTTGGAGATGCGGATGCCTCGGCCTCCAGCACCCCCATAAACGCTGGGTGTCATCCCGAGGCGCTGCGTGCCCACTGTACTGACTACAGAGGCCTGCAAGGAGTTGCTGAGGCTTCTGTGGAAGCTTCTGCGACTGAAATCCATTGCAGATTCCAGGAGGGAGCACCTGTAGCTTCAGGATGGTTGGGGCAGAGTGTGTCTCATGGAGGGTGTTGAGCTAGCCTTTTATGAAGTCCACAGGCAAGAAACTCCTCCTCTGCTGACATGTCACTAGGATTGGCACCACGGTCCACCTTGCCTTGCTTCCACGCCCCCCCCCTTTGTATAACAATATGTTAATATGTTTAATTCAATTCCAGAAAATAGCACTAGAGGCATTTATTGGAGGCTTTTATCAGGGGCAACTTTTTTTTTTTTTTTAATTAAACAGGTAACAAAAGGAAACAGGAAGGTGTGTTCTTTTAGCCCGTGCACCTGCCTTGGCAGGTTTTTTTCATCCTAACATACACATAAAGAATATTTATAATCCTCATGTATAATTTAGGTGTGTAAAAAGGCAGATGTGCCTACATAACTGAAAGTCACAATGGAGATAAAGGACAATGGTTTATTTGTATTGAGGAGTTGCTCTTCAGAACCTCTGTTTCATGCTTTACTTGTGTTTGGCTTTTAAGTTTATTCTGTTTTGGACATCTTATTTTATAAGACTATTAATATATTTTGTACAGACACAAAACCTCAAATCCCTAAACCAGGAATGAAACCATTGTACATTTGGAGATGTAGTTTGGGGATATGAATTAAATGAATTTAGCTGAATGATGGACTAGATGATTTGGGAGGTTATTTTCTTTCTATTTCTAATGTTCTATGACTAAATAATGCATTTTAGGTTTCTAGTCACTGCCTGGCTTCAAGCCCTGTTACCAAGACACTTACAATAAATCGCACAGTGCTTTGCACCTGGCATGGTACCAGGATGGGTCTCCTCTTTTGTATAAGGCCAGCTTAACACCCACCATGAGACAGACTCTGCCCCATCCATCCGGAATCTACTTACAGGTGCTCCTTCTAGAATCCCCAGTGGATTTTAATTGCAGAAGCTTCCACGGAAGCCTGATCTTCCTTGTATGTCCCCACAATCACAGCAGGAGTGGCTGTATGTATAGGAAGTGGGGCAGGCGGGGCCTTGGGACTACACTCAGCATCCAGGGTTGGGCTGGAGGCAGCTGCTTGCGTGTGGACCTCCAGACACATGGGCGTGATCTCACCAGTGGGAATCTGATTGTAAGCACCCAATAAATGCCTGAGTCACTTGCTTCCCTTCATTCAAACCCCCTGGCTGAGAATTCACACCTCCCATGAAGCAAGTAAATCACTTCCTTAATCAAGTTAATTAGAAGGGATTGGAAAAGTCACTAAAAACATCTAATTAATTGTCATCCTGATACTTTAATGGAATTGAGATTTGTATATAATTAAAGCAAGCAAGCAAGTAAATGCAAAAATAAAAAATTGGAATTTACTTGTCTTATTTTAGAGGCTTATTTGTTGTTGCTGTTGTTCTGAAAGCCAATCACTTAAAAATTTTTTTTTGAGCTTTTAGAAACCAGTGGCTTTTTTACTTTTGAGTTTAAATTTTTTTACAGACAACTTTCTTCTAAAATAAGGTCAGATCACATTATTTCTCTCTTATGAACAGTATACTTTAAAATAATACATTGTGTTTGATTTTATCTCAGTTATATCACAGAAATAAAAATTGAGATAAAACGGGATCTACTTTATGCATTTTATGGTATATGTGTGGACAGCTCTTACATTTTTATCCATTCATGTATTCATCAGCCAGTACTGAGCACTCACCACCGATGACTGGACTGGTAGCAAGAAGACCTTGCTAACTTATTAGAGTTATAAATTACTTTGTTAATAGATGTCACAGCTAAACTCTGTAGCAGAGAAGAACTTTTTATAAACACATGAACTATGTTCTTTACACATATATTCAAAGATGAATTGCTTTTTGTGTTGATTAATGGGGTAGGAGGAGATTGTTAGATTAAAGTCATTGGAAAATTATACTATTTAAATTACACACGTTTTATAGTAAGTTGGTCTCAGCCAAGAGTTTCATATGCTAACACATGATCAAAGTGTGTAGAAGCATTATTTATTTATTGATTGATTTTTGAGATGCAGTCTCTATCTGTCGCCCAGGCTGGAGTGCAGTGGCTGCGATCTCGGCTCACTGCAAGCTCTGCCTCCTGGGTTCACGCCATTCTCCTGCCTCAGCCTCCCGAGTAGCTGGGATTACAGGGGCCCGCCACCTCACCCAGCTAATTTTTTTGTATTTTCAGTAGAGACGGGGTTTCACCGTGTTAGCCAGGATGGTCTCGATCTCTTGACCTCATGATCTGCCCACCTTGGCCTCCCAAAGTGCTGGGATTACAGGCGTGAGCCACCGTGCCTGGCCAGAAGCATTATTAAGTCAATAGTTAGCTTTATAATTAGAAAAGAACATAAGTGTGGTTGTTAAACAGGATGATATTTGTTCTCTTTTGTAGGACAATTCTTCCTTATGGCTGGACCTAGTTATGTTTATATCAAAGAGTTAAAAATCCCATTTTTAGTTGTTTTCAATTTTATTTTTATTTTGTGACAGGGTCTCACTGTGTTACCCAGGCTGGAGTGCCGTGACACAATCACAGCTCACTGCAGCCTTGACCTTCCAGGCTCAAGTGATCCTCCTGCTTCAGCCTCCCAAGTAGCTGGGACTATAGGCATGCACACCATGCCTAGATAATTTTTATTTTTATTTTATTTTTATTATTTTTATTATTTTTTTGACAGAAACGGGATTCCACTATGTTGCCCAGGCTGGACTCAAACTCCTGAGTTCAAGTGATTCTCCCACCCCACCCTCCCAAAATGATGAGATTACAGGTGTGAGCCCCTGTGTCCAGCCAATTTTTTTGAGACAGAGTCTGGCTCTGTCACTAGGCTGGAGTGCAGTGGCGCAATCTCGGCTCACTGCAAGCTCTGCCTTCTGGGTTCACACGATTCTCCTGCCTCAGCCTCCCGAGTAACTGGGATTACAGGAGGGCACCATCACGCTCAGCTGATTTTTGTATTTTTAGTAGAGACAGGGTTTCACCATGTTGGCCAGCCTGGTCTTGATCTCTTGACCTCATGATCTGCCCACCTCAGCCTCCCAAAGTGCTGGCATTACAGGTGTGAGCCACTGCACTGGCCCAGCCAATTTTTTTTTTTTTTTTTTTTTGAGAAATAACTGTCTATTTCTTATTCCAGAAATCTTTGGCTAGTTTTGATAAGTTTTTGAGGTTTTAAATTTAAACTAAAACATGATACAATAGTGTTGTTATTATGAGGTATAGTCATTCAATCTACTAATTTGTTGCAGGAGAAAAAATTCTACTGGAAAGGTTCCCACCTGTTTATGTAAGGGCAAGAGAATTTGCTGGCTTCTGTATGTCACTGAGTTTTGTACTTTCGTAGATTATTTGATCTTATAATGTGACCACGGGAAATCAAGTGAGTTTTTCACAGCAATTCATTTTTCTGAGTTATATCTCGAGGACTGAATAAAGATCCTATTGACCCTTGTTCATACACAGAGTCATGAATTTAGAGCCCCTGATATTTCAGGCTGTTGAGTGACTGCATCTGTAAATAAATACTTATTAGATCCCAACTTCCTTGTAGCTAGTAGAAGGGACATTTTGACCTCTGAGACACTCTACTGAGAGTGTTAATGATTAATATTAAGTATGGCCAGTAGTTGGGAAGACTATTATAAGCACTACAGTTTTCAGAGGACTTTCAACTTTTTTCTTCTTTTTTTCCTACCATGACCAAGCTATTGCAGTCGCATATGATAGACGTAGAACCTGCAGTCTGTGGAGTGGTGTCTTGTTCAGACAGGGAGAAGGAGGGTGGAAGTATAGGTGAAGGAAGTTGGAAGTTTGGCCCTGAGTTATTTGTTGAAGTGAGGAGATGGGTACAAGGAGGTCGATATATAGTAAACTTACATCATTGTATTCGGCACAGTTAATCTGTCATATTTAGGTTTTTGTTTGCACTTATTTGGTAATTCTCAGCTGTGTTTTGATGAGTTGGGTGGATTTGTTTATTGTCTCATAGTGGCTACAGTATGATTGGATGAAGAATATAAATATAAATTCTTTTAGAAAATAAAATAAACTTGAAAATTGGAGTAAGTACCAAGCAGATCTGAAATACAAACCAGAGGAAATAAACAATGCCGTTAAAATTACAAGTTCAGTGGATGAGTCCAGGAACAGATTAAACCAGGATTATTCAACAAAATGTGGCTCTGAGGAAATTTTCCAGAATGCAACCAAGTGACGAAGGAGGAAGTCAAGAGGCATGAGGGCTAGAATTAGAAGGTCTAAATATGTCTAATCAGAGTTCCAGGAGAAGACATGAGAGAATAGGAAAACATTCAACAAAATAAAAAGTGAGAATTTTATAGAATTGTTAAAAAAAACCCCAAAAACCCAAGTTCTCAGATTAAGGAGACCTAATGAATTTCAGGCAAAAGGAATAAAAATAAATCACTACACACATTGAGGCAGAAAACCAGATAATTACAAGCAGATAGAAAATAAATCACCAGCAAAGGAATGGTGGTTAGACTGATGGCTGACTCCTCAAAAGCAACAATGGACACTGGAAATGGAATAGAATCTTCAATGTGGCGGGAGGAAATAACTGCCATTCCAGAATTTTCTGACTCGGTAACATTATATTTGAAAGAGGATAAAATAAAGCCATTTTCAAGATTTAAAAAACTGAATTTGCCATCAACTTCTAAGTTTTCGCTAAGAGCAATCTGAAAGAATGTATTTTAAGCAGAAGGAAGATGATTCCAGATGAAAGTTCTGACATGCATAAAAGAATGAAAATAATAAATAAGGTGCTAAGCATGTGACCAAATGTAAATGTAAAGACAAATATTGGCTATAAAATAATTTATCTATTGAGAAGAAAAAACAATATGGAATTAAACTAGATGAAAGCTGGAAGGGGATGAATGGAGTTGAATTGTTCTAAAGTGTGCAACTGTTTAGGAAAACAGCAAACATACAGATTAACTTTAGATATTGACAGGTTAAGAATACATATTACATTTTCCACACATGGACACATGGTGGGGAACAACACACACTGGGCACCTGTGGTTGGGGGGAAAGCATCAGGAAGAATAGCTAATGGACACTGGGCTTAATACCTGGGTGTTGGAACGATCTGTGCAGTAAACCACCATGGCACACGTTTACCTATGTAACAAACCTGCACATCCTGCACATGTACCCCCTGAACTTAAAATAAAAGTTGAAGGAAAAAAAGAATGCATATTATGTTTTCTAATTTTATGGTTTTGCCTTTCACATGATGGCTGTTACATTGATCTGGAAATAAGCCAGTGAATTAGCACAAAGAGCTCAGAAACAGATCTGTTGCATATAGAAACTCAATTTTGTCCTGCTTGGGCATTACAAATCAACGTGGAAAGAAATGGAGTATCCCATATTTAACAAATGGAAATTGTATTTCTGTTCTAAGGCAAAACTTACCTAAAATATATGAAAATGAATTCCAGATTCATTAAAGATAAACATATGAAAAGTTAAAACCTATACAACATGTAGAAGAAAACACAGAATAACATCTCTAGGAATTAGAGTAAAGGAGTATTTCTAACAAGACACAAAAAGTGAAAACTGTGAAGTACAAAATTGATACCGATTTAGCAATTTTTATTCATTAAAATATACCATAATTATAATGAAAAAAGTCTCAAACAGGGAGCAGATATTTAGAAATCATGTAACTGTCAAGAAATTAGTTTCCGGAATATGGAAAATCCCTACAAATCAGTAAGAAAAAGAAAAACATCCCAGTGAGAAAGTGGGCAAAATATGAATAGATTTGCAGAAACGAGGAAAGCTGAATGGCCCGTTCCACATCCGCCAATTGGAAAAAGTTAAAAAGTTGGACGATAAGCCGGGCGCGGTGGCTCACGCCTGTAATCCCAGCACTTTGGGAGGCCGAGACGGGCGGATGACGAGGTCAGGAGATCGAGACCATCCTGGCTAACACGGTGAAACCCCGTCTCTACTAAAAAATACAAAAAATGAGCCGGGCGTGGTGGCGGGCGCCTACAGTCCCAGCTACTCAGGAGGCTGA